GACCCTCTCACAACACTAGGGTCTAGGCACGGGACTGGCGCGCACTGGCACTAAGGGTCCGGGCACTCCAGCTGCACTGTTAGCACCTTGTTTCACGGCGGATGGCACTCCGCGAGCCGGCGGCGTGCGTCCGCCAGCCCCTCGCCCGGCAGCACTTCGAGCGAGGTCGCGCGGCCCACGACCCGGCGCTCCTCCTCGTCCTCCATCGCCTGCTGGTACTCCTTCAGCCGGAGGTTGGTCCCCAAAAGTCGGCGCGTCATGCGCGCAGCGCGCCGGTCAATCGCCTTGATCTCCGCAGTCAGCTCGGCGTCGCACATCGCCTCCGCCGCTGCTGCCGTTTGCGCGCCGACCGCCTCGCCGGCGAAGCGCGAGAAGGCGAAGTCGGTATCAAAGGGCGAGAACACCTCGTACATGTCGGCCGTGCCCTCGATCGACCCCTCCGCCTGCGCGGAGGTCGTAAAGTTGCCCGCGTCGGGGTAGGTGTCGAGCATGCCCACGCGCGACTGACCTGGCGGATCGGCGAAGGACTGGCCAATCAGGCCGTGCACGACCGGCGGCGCCGTGTTGCGAACGGAATGCGAGAGCTCGAGGTCGAGCCGGTGGTGAGGACCCGAGACTCGGCCGTGCACGTGGTCGCCGTGCACGACGATTGTCCACGGCGTCCCCCAGTGGGCGCTGCCCTCAAATGGCGCCACCTGAAAGGTGGCGGTGGAGTGGTCGACCGACGCGTTGAGCCCGCCGCAGGAGCGCGTGTGCTTGCTGAGCGGGTACTCGTGGCCGCCGCAGCTGGTCTTGACGGCGCGCCAGCCCCAGTTGTACTCGTTCAGCTCCGACGCAAAGTAGCTCACGTACGCCCACTTGCAGCTTTTTAAGCCCGCGACGAGCGCCGCTACGTGGACCTCGGTGATGAACGTGCCGTTGACCAGCAGCCGCTTGTTGTGGAGGAGGTACCTCGCCTCCTCAATCTTCACGTCTAGGGTACGATACTTGACCCCCCCCCCCTTGCGCCTCGTGTTTTTCGTGCCAAACCAGCGCCGATCTCGGCGGGGCGTCAGCGCCTCTCGGAGGGGCATCATGCGCTCCCGGGCCGCCCGACGGGGCGGGCCTCTTGCTGATGGACCCAGCCGAGGTGCCCAACCAGTTGGAGTCGCGCCGACGCGCTGCGGCGACCACCAGCCAGCTTTTCAGCGCGGTCGAGGACGGTGCGCCGAAAGAGTAGACAGTCTCCGGTCCATCCGGAATTTTGTCGTTTTAGTTAGCACTGCTGCTGCAGACAGGGCCCGCGTGACCCCTTGCCCTTCCCGGATCCAGCTCGCTGAGGCGTGGCGTCACCCCGCTGACCGCCCACAGGTGGCTGACGAAGCGCCACTCATCGCTGCTTTCGCGCGCCTGCTCCACAGAGGGCTCCTGCGGCTCTCCCTCGTCGCGTGACCGCCGCCGACATCATGTGCTCGGTCGTCCCCGCCGGCGCGGAGCTGCGCCACGTCGAATTGTTCGGTGGCTCGACCGCCGGCGCGCCCACCCTCGCCTCCTGCGCGCCTCACACCCAGTATTTTCCTCGCGCGCGGCCGACAAAGTAGGCACACGACCACCTCCCTCCCACTCACCCCCCCCCACGATGCACAGCCCGTCCACTCTCGCCGGCAAGGCGCACGGAACGCCCAATTTGGGCTGGAAATGCCGCCGCCACCGGTTGGTGGTGCCCTCGGCAGCGGGGCAGCGCCACGCCGCGCAAACTTGCGCGACAAACTTGCGACCTCTGTCCCTCGTATTCACCCCAGATTTTGCCCTATCCAGGCTCACCCGGTACCGCGAGCGACGAGCCGCGCCAAGTTTGCTCCATTTCCGACAAGTTCATCCTGCCCGAACGCCGATCTTCGGCCGCCTGGAGGCCCAGGACGGGGCTCGGGACCGGCCAGGTGTGGATTCTCCACGGCGCTGCGGTGTATCTGCGCGCCCATGGCGCGTTCAGGGGTGTGCCTGAGGCGTGTTGACTGCGGGGCGCCGCGATAGCGCGGCGCCGACGATTGTGTCGCGCACTGTCACACCCACGACACGGTCACAGTGTGTGTGCAGTGCGTCCACTCCGGCGACCGTGACGCCGTCGGCGCTCGCCTATACCGGCTAGTGTGGAGCTTTCAGTGTGGTTGCGTGTTGTACTAGTGATGCTGCACTAGGCGGCCCGTTTTTAGCAAAAACCAGATACCACATCGCGTGTGGTCGTCGAAAAACCGCATCTTCGCCCGTCTGGGACCTCTTCGTACGGCTCCAAAAACCGCTCCTTAACGACGGCTACGCGGCCCGGCGGTCGATCTGCGCCTTCTCAGCGGTGGAGGGGATGTGGGCGGTATGTGCGTACCGTGTGGTGTTGCGACGGTTTGACGAGTGCGACTCCCAGCGTCGACTTTTCGACCCCACGGAGCCTCTAACAGCATATTTTCAAGTTTAAGAAATATTCTGTCTAAAACCGCGAGCTACGAGTACGAGTGTCCGCCCTGCAAACTTGTACACCCGAGTTTGGCGCTTTCGGGCTGAGAGTCAACTGCCATGGGCCCCGACCAGTACGGGCTGGCTCGCTTTGCTGTCGGTATCTGCGTTTGTCGTGCCACGTGTCCGCAGGCCGCGCTCCGGCGAGCCCGACGCCACAGGGCGCCGGCCGTGTGTACAGTCGTAAGAGGCGGCTGGTGCTCTGGAGGCGGCATTTGGTGGGGTGAGGAGTGAGAGGACCGCTACTGGCGGCGTGAAAGGGCCTCTCTCGGCTGCGTGCGCCGCCCATCGGCACGCGGGTGCGCAGACACCGCGACTCTGCCCCGCTCGCTCGACCCTTTTGCCGCAAGAGGGCGCCGGCCGTGTGTACTGTCATAAGAGGCGGCTGGCGCTCTGGAGGCGGCATTTGGTGGGGTGAGGAGCGAGGACCGCTACTGGCGGCGTGAAAGGGCCTCTCTCGGCTGCGTGTAGCAATCTCGTCGCCGGCCGCAAGGCACGGACGAGACCGTGTGTGGGGTCTTGTGAGGTGTCTATGGACGCCCTCCTCACAGGCTAGCGGCCAGCCGCCAGCCCTATCTCGCACTCATGGGTGACGACAGCAGTTCATTGGATGAGTGGTTGCGAGCAGAGGCGCGTGTGCTGAATCTAGATCGCACGCCGTGGCATATGACTTGGGTAGGCGTGCGACCGCAGCGCGCCCGCCGAAGGCTCGACCGGGCGCGCGTGTCAGCCAGAAGTTTGCCAGTAGAGCGATCCTGGTCTTTCCGAAGACGAGCCCCGCGCCACGGGTGCCAGCCGTGCCTCCGCGGGAGCCGCCTCTCGAGCCGCGTCCCGCCGGCACTGTCCCTGAGTGCGTCCCGCCTCAGCGGCACGCACTCGGCGAGGACAGTCCGGCCGACAGGAACGTCGGCGTGGGTTCGTTCAATTGAGGCGCGCCAGATCCTCGCGAGATTCTCTGACGCAAGCTTTCCTTCTATTTTTGTACTATCTGCTGTACTTTGGGGACGTTATATATTGTAAGTACCCTTCTTCAAAGTACAGAAGAGAGTACATATTTCCCCTCTGCGAAGCCTGCCTTTACATAGTAAAAAAGACAACCAGGGCGGCTTTTCCCCTGTTCACGCCCTCACACAGGCCAAAGTTGGACCGCGCGAGATCGCCCCCTCGCGCCGTCCGTCGGGCGCGAGCTGTATGTCCGTGCCAAAGGCCTCTCCCGCCCATCGATCGCCTCTGGGCTGACTCGTGCAAGCGGTTCTCCGCGTATCGATGGTGGACAGTAGCCGGCACTGGTTTGCCGGATGCTGCAGCACACGATAGCTGTGACGCGACAGATACCCCTCGGTGCTGCTGAGCGGATCCCCGACGCGTGCGCGTGGACGGAATTCGACCCGCGAGGAACCTCTCGAGCCGTTGGTAGCGCTCCACCTCCGACCGGACACGTCATCTGGCCCTGCGCTGAGGCTGCTGCGCATGCATACCGCCAGGGTGCTCACCACGCAGATGCCAGAGACGCGCCGATCGCGGCTGCCTCGCTTGCACACGTGTCCACAGACCTCTCCGATTGACCACTCGGAGATCGGCAGGGCGCGAATTCGCATTTCGGTTCTTCCTCAGAGGCAGAAGGCCCACTCGGCATGCTGCGAGGCAACGCCAACATGTGGCATAAAAGTGCACTTCCTGCCACAGAGAGTCACTCGGTGCAGCCGCGCAGCGGGCTCGTGGCATCACCCGATCCGTGTGGAGTGCACGAGGTGCTCGGCGACGGGTGCAGCCCTGATGCGAGCCGTGCTGGCATGCTCACGCTGTGCGCCAAAGGCTCGCCACCGCCAGGGTCACAAACCTGGTCCGCAACGCGATTGTGGCCCTGGTATGGTGGCTTCCTCGATGGCTTGTGACCACGGCGAGCGAACATTTAGCGACCGGCTGCGCAGCCCGACGCTGACTTGGCTCACGGGACCCACAAAGCAGCTATCGCGCAGCGCCCGTCGCTACACGTAGACAGTGAACACTGGATACGTCCAACGGCGTCCTACTTGGTAAAATTCGGTCCAGCTGATTAAGGGGCAAAGTCGGCCAAAATCTATCCGTTTAGCTACTGTAAAAGCCTAAAACGTCCGACGCGTTCTCGGGTTAGCGCGACGTCAATCCGATAATAAATAAATAATAAATATACGAGGGGTCCCGTACCATGCGGAATCGACCCTATCCGGTGCTCAAGTGCTCAAGCGTGGACACGGCGACAGCGCGGACCCGGCGGTCTCACAGAAGGTACAGCTCCGAGTCGCCCCAGCACTTTGGTTTATCTCGCGTCAATTAAAGTGCACATGTACTTCTTTGAAATAATCTTGTGTGCCACTCAGAGTCAGACAGCGTTGCGCGAGCATTGGAGAGGCCAGCCTCCGGCTTCTCAGCGTGTCGCGAGTGCTGTCGGTCTGGTGTCTCTGCCTGCCAGCTGCCTCGTGTGTAGCTGGGTGCGTGGTTTTTTGTTACACGATTTACGGACTTAAACGGATTTACGGATTTACGGATCCACCCCCCTCCCTCCCCGTCCCGCGCTGCTGAATATGCCAGAGATCATGTACTTCCTTGAAATAATCAAGGGCCGTGCACGCATCCAACCGCCGCTGACTGTCTGTTCCGCCGCGACCCGCAGCGCGAACCATCCGACCTCCCTCCCTCCCCAAAGGCGCGCGCTCAGAGGGAAGGGCTGAGGGAGACCGTCCCCTCCATCGCCGCCGGTGGCTTCTCCTCCTCGGCCGGCGCGTCGTCATCAGAGCTCGCGTCCCACGCGTCGGGCACGCCCGAGTCGCGCTGCTCGAACCGCTCCGCGCCCGGCTCCGCCTCGGGCTCGGGCTCGTCAAAGTCGCCGTCGGCGCCCGAGGAGCGCTCCGCGAGACTCGGCTCCTATATGCATCGCGCGCCATGCATCGTTAGGGCATGACTGGTACCAGGCCGAGGGGCGCTCCGCCAGGCTTCGGCGCCGGCGAGAGCAGCCGCGGCATCGCCCAGTTTGGCGGGAGGTTGGCCTCGAAGCCGTCCTGGCACGCCCGCGCCGACGCGAACTTTTGCATCCCCTTGAGGGCCGACCGCCTGTTCACAGCTAGAGGTGTGAAGAGACGCTGTTCACACGAAGGTTGCATCCCCTTGAGGGCCGACCGCCAGATGCGCTCAACCTCGAGGCAGACCGACGAGCCGCAGACGACCAACGACTCGCGCGCGCGGGACAGCGCCACGTTCACACGCCGCGCGTCGGCGACGAAGCCGAGCCCGCCAGCGACGTCCGCTCGGACGCAGCTAAGGATGATGACGTCCGCCTCGCGCCCTTGCATCGAGTCGACGGACAGGACGGCTACGTCCTCCAGCTGCGCGCGCGCCAGCATGCGCTCGAGGATGTCGCGCTGCGCGTTGTAGAAAGACAGGACGTTGATGCGCTCCTGGGAGAATCCGAGGTACTCGACGCAGTGCAGCGCGAGCGAGACGACCTCCTCCGCCTCCTTCTTGTTGAAGCAGGAGCGCTCTTGGAACTCCTCGTGCCCGCCCGTCACGTTGACGAAGCAGGCGGGGAGAGGGTGCTGCCGCGCGCGCGCCGTCGACGGGGCCGTCATGAGCTTGTTGAAGTAGAAGGTGGAAGAGACAATCTTGTTGATGGCGGGGTGCATCCGGTACTGCTCCGTGAGCATAAATGTCTTTTGGCCGGGGTAAGGCTCGCCCGCAACCGCGCCAGGGACGCCTGGTGCGGCAGCGGCGCCGCGGCCAACGCCGCGGCCGGCGCCCTTGCCGCCCTTGCCCAGCAGCGGCGAGGCCCCCTTCCCGCGGCCGAGGGAGGGGGAGGCGGCCGGGTTGCGGGCGGCGGCGAGCCGAGCCTACGTGAATACACCAACCATCAGGGCGGGAAGACGGCATCGTGCAGAGTCTGCAGAGCGCCGCGTGAGTACGAGGGGTACGAATACAGCTCGGTCGAGTACGGCTGAGGACGTGTCCTCTCGAGCGCGGGTCGGAAGAGAAGAGTGCGTGTTCAGCGTCTAGGGGCGGCGAGCCATGAGTGAGACCGTGTACCGCGCGGTGTCCGCGTCCTTCCACTTTGAGAACGGAGGCAGCTGCAGCTGGTCGCCCACCAGCAGCGCCGCGCGCGCGCCGTGCAGCAAGCAGCCGACGGCGTCTGGCTCGAGCATCGCCGCCGCCTGCTTAGCAAAAGTCCGGCTCCGGCGCCTCGTCTCCCTACATCTCCCTCTCTCTCGGCTGTATCTCCCCAGATCTCGCTGTATCTCCCCAGATCTCGCCTCGTCGAGAATCACAAAGTCGAACGTGAGCGGCTCGGCCTTCGCCCTCGCCTAGTCATGAGCGCACTCACCCTGACCTCCCAACGCCGAATGTACGAGCGGCTCGGCCGTCGCCCACGCCTTCTCCGCCGAACCAGCGCCCTCCTCCATGTCGCGTTGCAATCGGCGCGTCACCTGCAGCGCCGCCGACGCTGTGCAAGCAACCAGCCGGACCTCCTTCCACACCTGGCGCCGCGTGCTCCCCTTGCGCTCGCCCATCGTCTGCGTGTGCCGCCGCACGCTCTCCTGCTCCGCCTTGAGCCGCTTCTTCACCTCCGCGCGCCGCGCCTCCAACTTCTTCGCCTCCGCAACCGCCGCCGGGTCGGGCGGCGGC